ACACCCCCGGGGTGTACCCGCGCCCACAGCTGGGCCGCCAGCAGCTCCCGGGCTACACGCCCAGCTGCGCGACACACCCGGCCCAGCCAGTGTCCCCGGGGCCATCCTCACTGCTGCTGAGACACCCAGAGCAGCCTGTGCCCACCACCCAGCAACACTCTGCCGGGCACCCTCCACAGCCTCACGTAGACGTCCACACTCGGCCCTGGCACCTGCACGTCTCACCGGTGTCCACCGGCCACGAGCTAAGCAGCGAGGCCCAGGTGCTTGTTAGCTGGGCCCACTCACGCAGCAGGACTTCAGAGCGAGGCATCCAAGTTCCTGTACCCGCCCCATGGAAATCCAGATCGTCACCCAAACGGGCTGGGAAGAGGAGCGTGGCGGGCTGAGACCTGCCGGGCCAGACAGCAAGCTGCTAAAAGCTGGTGGCATCTTAGGTATGCATCGGGACGACGGGAGAGTTTTAAACGTTTAATGAAAAAGATTTAACAGAGCAACGTACTATTTACACGTGGGTAAGAAAAGGCAGGCCCCAGGGGTTTGGGGGCACGAGCACAGAGTTCACACGAACCCCGCTGAGCAGCGGCCCCAGGACCCTCCGCGCGGGCTCCGGGCAGGCGCGGGACGCACTCAGCTGGGCCGCACGCCCGGCCGCCAGGGGAGGGGAGCGGAGCAGCCCGACCCGGCCCCGGCCCACCCCGGCCCGGCCCGGCCCGCCGAGGGAGGCTCACCGTTCATGGGCATCTCGTCGATCTGCGTGGAGTAGTACTGCTCGATGTCGCGGAGGATGCGGATGTCGTCGTTCTTCACGAAGTTGATGGCCACACCCTTCCGGCCGTAGCGGCCCGACCGCCCGATTCTTCAGGAAGGAAACAGTACTTGGTCAACGCGGCGGGGAGACTCAGCGGGCGCCCCCGCAGCCCCCAGTGCCCACCTGTGGATGTACAGCTCTCTGTTGTTGGGCAGGTCGTAGTTGATGATGAGGGACACCTGGGGGACATCCAGGCCCCGGGCCCAGACGTCTGTGGAGATGAGCACGCGGCTGCAGAGACAAGGCACGCCAGTCAGCGGCTTTGATGGCGGGAGTCCGAGACCGGCCCCACGCCAGGACTGAGTCAGGTAAGCCTGGGACAGGCTGGGGCCAGCCAGGTGACCGCTGTGAAGCAGCAGGTCTGCAGACAGGCCTGTGCAGGCCCTGGTGTAATTCCACGGGTCATGTGCTCTTGCTGATAAAGTTAGACTTTGTTTTTGGCTATCAGGCTCGTGGGCTCACCAGAGCAAAAGAAGAGAAAGTGAGAAATCCCCCCGGGGGGTGGCTACACTGCAATCCTCCTCCAGCCTCCTCTTGGGATTTTGGGCATGCACATGCACTAGGTGTATTTTCCAAGCCTCCAGGTCCAGGACTCAAACTGCACGGTGGCCACGTGGGATCCAGCTGCCTTACTCACCATGCCACCTGACTGGCCCTGATGTTAGGTACTTTTACTACTGTAAATTTAACTTGTTCACACTCAGCGCCATACCGAGAATTCTGCCTAGCCAAAAAGCCAGTTACGGCAAGCACCCGCACTGAAGTTACTCGGTGGCCATCGGCGTCGAGTCTGAACTCGGCTGGCACACAGCAGCACCCGGCTCGCCAAAGCCACACAGGCTGCTGGCACCTGACACAGGGCTGGTCTGACATGAGGCATGTGGAAAAGACAGATCTAGAAGGCCTGAGGCAAAAACGAAAAGGCAGACACACTCATCGCACACTTGTGCCTCGGTGCGCCAGGAGCCGACCCTTTACCTACTCCAGACGGGGCCCCGGGGAACTGGGAGCACATGGCAGCCGGAGCGACAGGGCAGGAGGCAGTCCAACACAGGGAACCTGCCAGTCTCGCCCAGCTGGAGTCCTCCAGGGACAGGAGAGGAGGACGCGGCCGAGAAGGACCGGAAGTGTGGAGGCCGGAGTCTAGAGGCCCACAGGGCCAGCTGCAGACACAAGATGAATCCCACACCAGACACCTCAGAACCAAACTGACGGGCCGGCAGATGGTGTGGTGGTTAAGGGCGCTGGGCTCCCATGTGGCTGACTGCGGTTCGAGTCCTGGACCTGGCAGCTTACTTTCTCATTTTCCTTCTCTTTCTCTCTGTCCCTTCCTGGTCCAATTAAAATAAGTTAAATAAAGTTAAGTAAAATATTTTAAAAATAAATAAATAAAGGACAAGAACTGATGGCCAAACACGAGGAGCGAACCGGGGAGCAAGCCTAGAGCAGCCTGCAGGAGAGATACATTTGAAGGGGCGGTCAGCCTGGGTCAGCCTGGCGGGAGAGCTCCTCACAGACGCCAGACCAGTGACTTACATGAAAATGAGAAGGAAGCGACCGGCTGACCCAGACTCCTAACCCAGCAAACACCTGCCCGGACACCAACGGGAACAGACGCTGCCCTGGCAGACCCAGACTAACACAAACACAGAAAGACGTTCTTCCGGAGAAGCAAATTCACCCGAGAGAGAGAGAGAGAGTGCGAGCGCACCCGAGCAAGCGGGCAGGCAAAAGAGGAAGAAGCACGTGCCTAAACTTAAGCGAATTTTCCTACTTGAGCCAAAAGTGACTTGGAGCCTTAATATACGTGTATGCTGTAATAGGTGGTCACAGGTCACTCAGCGCGGGGGACAGAAAGCCAGGACAGCTCCGTGTGCGGCCAGCACCACTCGAGAGAAGAGGACCCTGCCATGGACTGAAACACGCCCGGCGTGCACACAGTGGCCAAGCCAGAGGGCCGGAAGAAGGGGATCAGTGGGGCCCCCACCTTGTGTGCGAGCTCTGACCTGAATAGCGAATAAAAAAATAAAGCTAGTGTTTTAAGGTACTTGTACTGCCTGGGGAGACGTAAGTTGGTAAAAATGCCCATTAATAACACATTAAGGGCACCAGCAGTTGGCATAATGGCTATGTCACTGGACTCCCATGTAGTCAACCTCAGTTTGAGTCCCGGACCCGGTGGCTTAAACTCACGCCAGGCGCACGTATGTGTGTGCCCAAGATCCCGAGAGGAGAATGGAGAAGAAGGGACTGTGACGTGGCCATCCCCCGGGGGGTGATTTCTCGCTTTCTGTCTCTCTCTTATCTTTCTGGTGAGTATATGTGCCCTATAGCAAAAACCTCTCCAAAAATAAAACAAAATAAAAACTAGAAGTTAACACAGAGCCATACTAAATCATGGAACGACCTCGACATCTCCGCCAGAAGAGAAAAGGCGTATTAGAATAAGGAACCGGAGAGGTGACAGACATACGGACCAGCACTCCGAGCTAAAGCCCAGGGTACTGACGCTTACCTCGACAACACTACAACGCTCCAGTCAGAAGACGAGGGCTGTCGCGGCTATTAGACCGAAAGGAGAGCGGAAAGAACCCCCCTGTGCGCCGTCCCTAAGAAACGCACCTAACCCAAGGACACAGGCTGTGGGAAGATGAAATGACGCGCAGGGTAAAGACCAACCCAGGCCAGCGCGTGGTGGCTCTTGAGCAAGACCTCAGGGCCAGCAGGTGGAACAGTGGTTAAGAGGCTGGGGTCCCATGTAGTCCCAGTCATAGTTCAAGTCCCAGACCAGGCACATGCCCAAAATCCCGAGCGGAGAACGAAGGGCCAACCCCTCCTTTGTATCTCTTCAGTGAGCGCGTGCACCCCAGAGCAAAGGTCTCTAAAAAGAAGAAAACACACAGAGAAAACAGACCTAACAAAAAGCACCATCGCGGACAGACACTGCTCTCCAGAAATATGGCGCCTCGGAATAGACGGGGCAGGAGTGAACAGAAACCCAGAAGGGAGGCGCCCTGCTCGCGGCGCCCGCCACACTGGCACCACCCAGCTGAAGGGGAACACACCCAGCAACTGCGACCGGATGGCCGGTGTCCTGTCTGGGCGCCCAGGGAGGGCTCGGGTGGGCCAGCCCAGCCACCGAGGCACAAGCAGGAGGGCTCTAGCCGGGGATCATTCCTGGCTCTACCTCAACAGGCCAGCACGGTGGCAGGTGCCTGGGGTCCTGACTAACCGGGAGGCTGCGGCAGGAGGATCCTGGCAAGACCTGTCCAAGTACATCTCTCCCCGCTCTTTC